CAGTATTTACAAAGATCCGAATGGTTTTATTTGCGAAGTACCCGATGCAAATTGGTGGTTCTGGATATTGAAATACCGGGACGGGCCTAGCTCGATGCCCAAGCCTACTATCCAGCCTGCCCAGCCATCTGGGCTGTCTGGATCCAGATGATGACACAGTTGCCGCCTGTTTTATCGTAGGCGGCTGGAAAAATGGTGGAGATCACCATTTTCGCCACCGAAACAAGTCACAATTCGCTTTTTATGCATACAAGGATCATATATTATCATTTTTTGCATACATTTTTGAACAAATTCGAGAATAAGCATGGTTTGTTTGAAAAATTAATTGTCCACAATGGTTTCAAGAAACTTTCCAGGAATTTTCCGATTTTTGGATTCCAGTCAAATAAACAGTGTATTTTCTCTTTTTTTCTTTTTAACTTTGGAGGGTACAAATGGACTTCATTGCTTTTTAAAGTTTTTATTATTTATTATTATTATTATTATTATTATTATTTTTTTTTTTTAAGGCCATATTGAGAAGATGGCCGGGTCGACTAATTCCTCAATGCTACCCACTTTTTTGGACAACCTTCCCACCTCCAGAAAATTCAGAATGCCTTAAATGACGCAGGGTAGGGGATACCATAGAAGCAACTGTGCCTTTAAATGCTGATGTTTATGGTTCCCCACCAGACAATCCTAGCCCCGTCTGCTGGAACGTTTCGGACCGATATCCTCGGACAAATGACCAACCCGAATTTGTTCAATTTCTAAACAACAATAAGGTGCTTCAATGTAAATATTTTCCCTTTCTTGAGTCTTTATGCTAACGAGCACTTCCTTGTTGATTATGCCTTCCTTGATAGGGTGAGTAATCCTATTGTTGATAATGGAATTCCATACACTAATGTCTTCGATGCCAACTTCGACACCATGGCGGCATCACTCAAAGCTGTTGTTGGGTTTGGAGACATGACCATTATTGTTGGGGAGGTGGGATGGGGACAGGAATGCCAATTTAAATTTTGCTTTGAGGTTCTTTTTACCTAGACTTGCAGCCAATAAAGGATCCCCTGTTCAAGTTTATTTGTTTGGACTTAGTGATGACGATGCCAAGTGTGGTGGGAGTGAAAAATAAAGTTTTAAAAATTTGGTATTGTAGGTAACACGTATAAAAAAATTTAAATTTAATTTCAAAAAAATAAATAAAAAGTTTGGGTACTGAAATTACAATTATTCCCTTTTAATTTTAGCATTTTTTTTTACTATATTTAATGGCAAATCTGACGGATCTTAACAGTATGGGGTTTTTTCGCACAAAATATTTCAAACAAGATGGTTTTCTGTGACTTTCAATAAGTAGAGGAGTATATCACACATGAAAGTGTTTTTAGATGGTATTATGCTATTAGTCCTTTAAAAGTGATAATCATTGATTGTCGTACCTCAATTTCTTTAGATGAATTGGACGAAGTTATTTTAATTGAAATCAAATCAAAATATATTTAGCTAATTGAACAAAATTGAAGTACAGTTATTTGATTGGCATTCAGTGAAAATATAATTATCATGAATTTTATCTGTTCGTAACAATGAATAGAAAATCATGTCATTACAAGTTAACTAGCCTAATATGTGATTGTACTAACAAACAATACTACTAATAGTAAGTGAGTTTGCAAAACTAGTATCTTCTTTAGGGAGTTGGCATAGTCCAACCAAATTCCTCTTTTCATAGTGAAGTTGTGGGGTTAAAGCTTGCCCAACTTCAAAAGACTATACACCAAAGATTGGCCTAAGCTTATCCAATGTAAAATTCTTGCCAAGTGAGTTATAGACCAAGCAAATATCCTATGGTGAAAAAGAAATATAATTATAAAAAAATGTTATTAATGTGAATATTAAAAGACACACATTATACAAATTTTTCTTGTCCATTCCATATATTGTGTTTTCGTGAATAATTTTTTTTTTCAACGTTAAATTTGTTTAAATACTCTCTTCATTTACACTTCTAGTAAAAATCAATATTATGTTGCTTCTCTCTCTACAATTTCGTGTCACCTTTGCAATTGATAACAGTAAGGTACATGTTTGGCAAAACTTAAATTATTCAAACTTATATTTTATCCACACAATTTGTAAGATCGACAACTACTATCAACTTATTATTCAGATATTTTGTATCACCACCACAACTTATAAGAATTAAAAGAACTCCCAAATAAGCTCAACATAGGATTCAATAGTGTGATATACAGAATTTGGAATTTTTTTCTTTTCTAATAATATCAAATACTCTTCAATCCATCTAAACAAACATGTCATAAATAGATGCTTATGATCATCATAAAGGGGGCTTGCCCCGTTTATTTACCTGTTTATTTTTTCTAATTCATTTTATAGTTCACGTTCATTAAACCGAGATAATAATATAGGTATTAAATTTTTTAATTAATTAATTAATTTTAAAAATTAAATTATTCGAATATATTTGTTAAACTATGATTTTTATTGTTTATCATATTCTTTAGATAATCTTAGCTACCATATCTTATTAGAATTAATGAAATTTTGTAAAGTTTTTCATTTAAAGTATTAAATTCTTAAAAAGAAAATTAAACGGGACTAGCCCTTGTTACTCGTACCCGCCCGGTGGAAATCCCCCACCTGTACTTGACTCGAATATCCAATTGAACGGATAGTTTTCACCTTCCGTTGGTATCGAGTTTGATGAATTTTTTTGTCATCCTTAATTTCCCTTCTCTTATGCATGTGGAACTTTTGATTTTAGGTTAGGACTAATTAAAAAGAATTCAAGAATCCTTTGGGGTTTATTTCAATATGGAAGAATATTGGGGCTGAAATTGTAAAATACTCCCCAAATGCAATAAAACCAATAAAACACCACATATTTTAGGCTGGCATAAGCTCATTCCAAGGAATGGCCACACTTTCACCGCAAGACGTCAACTATCTAGGTAGATAGAAAGAGAAGACGAAGAAGAAACCCTAAAAACAGAGCTTATTAAGTTACTGATTCTTTACATATTTCTGCGTTCGTTCTGAATCAAATTGCCGAGATCATTATTTATTATTCTTAATTAAGGTAAGTTATTATTTGATTATGTAAATCTTTCTCCAGTATGTGATGTAAGAATGTATAATATTGTTTATTGGTTTTTAATTTTTGTTTGATTTCAGTGTAGTCTTTGTGGGCGATGAGAAAATGTGGGTAGGATGAAACTGTTATATGTATGTGTGAGCTATTGTGGACAGGGTGACGAAGGAATAGTTGATGGAAATTAAATCCGAGATAATTTAAGGTAGCGTGATATTGGAAAAGGAAATAATATTTATATTTCTTATTCCGGATTGATACAGGTTAACTTGACAAAAATTGTTTGGCTGGAATTAATAGTGAGATTCTGTTCAAATTGTGTGTAAAAGATTTGAGCTTTAATAAATATAGAAGTAACTTGTATAAATGTCTATCAGTAAATTGTTGTGCGACGTGTTATGAATGGGATTGTGAGTTTGTAAGTTTTCTACGTCTGTTAACTTAGTCTTCATTTAAAGGAAAATCACAAAATCAAGTTTGAGGATTGCTAATTACTGGGCATGAATCAGTTAATTGTATCTGTGATGCTAATACTATGCAGTAGAATGTTGCAATTGGCAATGATGACAGTTAAATATGTTGTAGTACACTATTGATGTTTATTTTTTTGTGATTAGAATTTGGGTGATGGGGAGGCTGTTAAGTGGTGTTTCTATGAAAAATGGATGGATTATGCTTTGCTAGCCTTTGACATTTCCATGATCATTCAAGCTAATTAGGATTTGGATGGCTGATCAAGATTCTTTCTATTTCAAAGCATATGATCACCTTGGCTTTGCATAATTAAGTGTCATAGAATGGATTACCCATCTCTTTTTTGGTGAATGTTGGGCCATTAATCGTAGTTAATGTAAGTATTGGACAAACTGCTCGCTGTGTAAATGGTGATGGGCAAATGTACTTAACAAGGTTGTCTTAATATGATGGGGGTAGTTCACAGTGACCAAGATCCTTTGCTCTCCCTCTTCAATTACGAGCCTGATAATTCCTTTTATTGTTTAGAGTTCATTTCCTATTTTGGGTAATTTTTTTTTTTTCAATTTTAGATATGGGAAACTGAATTCATCACCTTCCCAAATTTCCATTGTGATCGTATCAGTTCTATCATGCGTCCACGTGATTTGACTAGTTTCCATCTCTATTTCATGTGCACGTATTTTGAGGAGCAGCGTCAAATTGAAACATTTGATTGTGGATGACACAAACTTGCTGCAGGTTACATGATTGTATTATAGTTCTATTAACTCGGTGTCTTGACTCTTGAGATTGGTAGGTCTTTCTCTATTTATGTGGATTATCGTACACTTGTCTATGTTGTGTATTGAATAAAAAATATGCAAACATGGTTATGCATCTTCAATGAGGTTGGAAGCATAATCGTTGGATGATGAATTGCTTAGATTAGAGTTTTGATTTCTTTTCTATAGCAACTTACTGAAATACCTGATATTTCACCACATAAATTTGATTTCTTCTTTGATTGTTTTATTTTCGTGATTGTCTCTGTTGTTGCATGTTAGATAAATGTGAGATTTGTTAAGCTGAAATAGTTACTCCCTCATTATGAAATCTTAGCAAAGCCTGTAAGCAATGAATTTCATGAGATTGGGTTATGCTCATCCATAAATTACTTTCATAAAGATTTTCCTCATTAGATATCATTATTATTCTTGACAGGAACTGGATATCTTCAGCTATGGAAAATTCTAGATCATCTAGGATCAGAAATATGATGCATGTTGGAAAAAATTCTCTTCTGCCTCCTAAATGTCCATTCCCTAGCATTTCCCCATCATATGCTGAGTACATCCCTAATTCAGCACCTGCCCGAAAAGGTATCCCAGCACCTAGAAATGGCAATTCACAACATCAACGTGCTTCCTCTGAAAGTTTTTTGATTGAGGAACAGCCATCTTGGCTTGATGAACTTCTCAATGAGCCCGAAACACCTGCGCATAGAGGAGGTCATCGACGCTCATCGAGTGATTCCTTTGCATATATTGACACATCTAATGTTGGAAACGTGAATGGCATAGATCAAGATGATAACAAGTTCAAAAATTTAACTTCAGTGCCTTCTTGGGGATCTCAGGACTTCGATCTTTACAGAGATATAAGACATGGTTCTTTCTATACAGACCCAAAATCTTCAGCCAAAACCAAGAACAGGACGTGGGATGCACCTGTGAATCCAGTTGCATCATCTCATGGCCGTCCTGCTCCTAAGGACACTACCATAGTTCAAACTGGAGTATCATTGAGTACTTCCCCAGAAGTAGACAAGAATTCATATTCTTCAACTGGAAAGCAGGATCCGCTTGAATCTGATCCTTATAATCCAAAAGATTCTTCTCATGCCAAATCATCTTCATCCGAAACAGACACCAAACGGGCCAAGCAGTATGTTAACTCAACTTGACATTTTACCTGATAAGTTACAGCAATTGACTTTTTAACGTTCTTTGACCTTATTGTAGCCATCTGCTGTCTTTGCATTTGATGCATGCTTGTCTTGGGTTTGGGAGGACACCTAAATATGTGGATTTCTTTTAATCTTTGAGTCCTTGTTTAGTAAGATCTATACCATTAATATGAGGCTATTCATGTGAATGATACAAAGTTATGTTCGGGGATTTAATTTTAATTGCATTAGTTGTGGGTTAAGCCTAGCTTTATATCAATCTGCTTTCCATGAACCATCGTGTTAGATCACCACGAATTTACACTGAATATGGCTTAGATTGAACTTAAATGCATCATTTTTAAGCTTAGAATATGTTTTTGAATCATAAGATTTTATGACGTGGTACATAAATAAAGCCACGTTTGAAATCCATTCTAAGCCTATTTTTCATGTAAAATCAGTTACAATCTAAATTGTGAGTTTGAATTATTGTCACAATATTCTGAAGACCTACTCTTGAAAATCTTGTTCATCTGCTTATAGTTAAAATGATTTTTAACTAATTTTATAACTTTATTTACCTTTTCTTTTATTTTAGCTTTTAGCCTGTTGACTCTGGAGATGATATTTCATCCCCATACTGCCCCATAAAAAAAAATTGGTTTCTTATAATACACTAGTTAGAATCTCAGTATCCTTGATATTTGTCTTATTAACTGTCTTGGCCTATTGGTTATGGTGATATGTGCTTTGTACATATTGAAAGCTCTACTGAATTAAACTGAAATATTAATCACAATTCTACGCATCAATATAATATTCAGGATGCAGATATGATGTTGTAATGCATGGACACTCTTATAGAATATTTATACTTAGTGATACCAATTCTTCTCCCTTTTAATTTAAATGAACTTATCGTGTATAATTTTACTTTCACAATAAAATTCCACATTGTGTCCTGAGAACTTGGTGCCGTTTTTGTGTCTTCTCATTACGTCTCACTCGAGCATTTTGATAGTAAACTACAAACTTTGGTAAATAATTAGTGTTTCAGTAAGCTTTAAACTTCATTTCTAATGCAGGCAGTTTGCTCAACGTTCACGGGTCCGAAAACTTCAATACATCGCTGAACTGGAAAGAAACATGCAAGCTCTACAGGCAGATATTCCCCCTCTGAGAAATTTTAGTATCGATCTTACCTTGACATGTTACATCTCTAAAATTGCTGATATCAACTTTGTTGTTTATAAATATAGGCTGATGGTTCTGAAGTTTCTGCTGAGCTCGAATTTCTCAACCAACAGAATCTTATACTAAGCATGGAGAATAAAACCCTGAAGCAACGATTGGAAAGTTTGGCTCAAGAGCAGCTTATAAAGTACTGTAAGTTTTTGTCCCATAAGTTAATTTTCCAGGTTGTTAGTTTGTTATTTTGTGTTAATTAGGCATAACTGGGGAAAGAAAATCTATTTTTACACAGTAGGTCTTGGAAAGGAAATTGAAAGAGTAGGTGGATAATTTGGGCTTTAAAACGTGTCTTCAAGAGGTTTGATATGAACCTTGATTTAATTTCATATGTCAGCATCAAATATATGGGCATTGTATAAGATAATCCTAGCCACCCCAGGTTGATGGACTCTCTGTAAAGACTGTAATTGTAATTATGCACCAGTCCGCAAATTATATCAATTTTGATTTACTCCGTAAGTAAAGCATAAAATTAACACATTTTCCCCTCTGATTAGATATGAAAAAGTACTGCATCATGCCCACTAGTGTTATCATTATTGAAAAAGTACATGTCAATGTGTATTTCGGATCAAGTTTAAGAACATAGCAAACCCACACTTTATTCTGACTTAGGTTCCTAGTATATGTTCTACAACAGTACTGCTTCTTTTAGCTGTCTGACGGTAGGCACTAGTCTGCTGCATTAACTTGTTTCTGTTCAGATATAACTAAGACCTTTGTTTTAGCTGTCTGACGGTAGGCACTAGTCTGCTGCATTAACTTGTTTCTGTTCAGATATAACTAAGACCTTTGTTTTAGCTGTCTGACGGTAGGCACTAGTCTGCTGCATTAACTTGTTTCTGTTCAGATATAACTAAGACCTTTGTTTTAGCTGTCTGACGGTAGGCACTAGTCTGCTGCATTAACTTGTTTCTGTTCAGATATAACTAAGACCTTTGCATAGTCAGGGATAGAATAGTGAATTTTGAAATACAGATTATTATATAATTGTAAAACATTGGAAAGCTAGCATCACGTTGGTTTTGGAATTGACTTGTATTAGAGAGTAGCAATTGGACCGCAGAAAGTTTTCCACTCTTAAGATTTCTCTGAACTAAATTTGCGGATGTTGTTTGCAGTTGAGCATGAAGTATTGGAAAGAGAAGTCGGAAGATTACGAGCCCTGTATCAGCAGCAGCAGCAGCAACAGTTTTCATCTAGCCATCGACGTGCTAAAAGCCGAGATCTCGACCAGCAATTTGCTAATCTTTCACTGGAACCCAAGGAAGCAAGTTCTAACAATGATACACCTTCTGGGTATATCTAGTGTGAGTTTTTACGGTGCCTCCTAATCATTCCTTGACTGATGTCTCCTTGCCTTGCCAATGACAAAAATCGAGGTTTCCTTTCATGGGATCAAGCCGCATTCTTCCACTCCTGAGGCTGGACCTCGTTGCCCGGTTTGTTTATCTTATGCTATTCTATTATGTTCTTTGTAATGTTAGAATTTTTCAATTTTCTTTATTAAAAGTAGCGTCGCCATGTGCGCCTGGTAGTCTGTGCCGGAAAATAGTTGTTCTGGTGGATGACTCTCCTGAGGTGGTTCTTCCAAACACGATTGATGTTAATGACCATCCCTGTATGTCTTTAAGTGATTACATTTATAAATTTCCCTTAACGTTCTGCCTGAGGGAACACTGCCATTAGACTGGAAATTGGTTTATGAAATCTAACAATTGTTGATTACGGGTACTTATTAGTCTCAAACGTTTGTCAAGAATTGGTGGAATCTTAATGAACGAGTGAACGACCAACGTATTTCAAAGACATGACAGGTTAGGTACATAGTATTTGACACTAGTTTTAGCTCCTCTCTCCTGTAAAATTGTCCTGTCCTGCCTTCTGGGTTCATTCTCTCCCTTGTACTTACAAAAATTGATGACATTTTAATTTGATTTCAATAAGATAATTGTACTTTAATTTTGATTGATTGGGTAACTACATTTTAATTTGATTTCAATTGGATAACTGTGTCCAATTCCCTCACTTGGCCTAACGAAAATTGATGACATGACATTAAAAAAATGATGGACGTCATTCATCTTAGTGACGATTGCTATTGAACCAAAGTATACTTGCCGTGATCAGAATTTTTTATTTTATGACTCAATTGATGCTATCTTTTTCATATTTATACTAATATACTCATAACTTAGTTTCCTCGAGACCATGCCAACCAAAGCACCATTCGACATTTCACAATGTCAAATAGTAGTTGAATTGATATCTAGGACTTCAATTTTTTTTTAGTGTAATACGGTATACATCAAGTGTTTGTCCTCGACCCCATACGAGAAATGAGTATGCAAACTTTCATAACGATAGGAATCATCAAGAACGGCAAAGTGATACGTACGGGTCGATGGAGACCTGTTGATGTCGAATGCAATCTAATGACACTCAATTGTCCATGTGAGCAGTTGTGCTAACTCATTTTTATTCAACTCTTGTTTGGCTACAATTTCTTAATATTCATGTTTTTTCAAGTTTATTTTTAAACATACATTTTACGAAATTCACAACTTTTATCACTATTTCTACCACACATTTCATCAACTTTTATCGATATTTACTATCCAATCTAATTTTTATCAAACCAGATGGGGCTCTCTGAAATGCAGAATTGACAAAAGACATTGTCGATCACTCAACTACTTAACTTGGTTTTACTCTGCTTATTTTACGGAATCTAGAAATTTATACAGTAGTAATTCAACAGCGTATGCAGCTCTGAGTAGTACAAGCGAAATATGCTCATAATATGGCAAAAACCTAATTACGCTTGTCCTCTCCTCAATCCTTAAATGTAAACCAAATCATACATGGAAACAATTATCCCTTGATCTGCGGCAAATGAACACATCAACCCTAAGCATGACAAAGCAAAAGCAGTTTGTTTCCAATAAAAACTCAAGCATTAATAAACTAGCAGAAAGTCGAAAAAATATATATATAAATGTTACAACATCTCTTGTAGTAGACAACTGATGTTATGTATGTAAAATTCAGTAAGGCCATATTGAGAAGATGGCCGGGTCGACTAATTCCTCAATGCTACCCACTTTTTTGGACAACCTTCCCACCTCCAGAAAATTCAGAATGCCTTAAATGACGCAGGGTAGGGGATACCATAGAAGCAACTGTGCCTTTAAATGCTGATGTTTATGGTTCCCCACCAGACAATCCTAGCCCCGTCTGCTGGAACGTTTCGGACCGATATCCTCGGACAAATGACCAACCCGAATTTGTTCAATTTCTAAACAACAATAAGGTGCTTCAATGTAAATATTTTCCCTTTCTTGAGTCTTTATGCTAACGAGCACTTCCTTGTTGATTATGCCTTCCTTGATAGGGTGAGTAATCCTATTGTTGATAATGGAATTCCATACACTAATGTCTTCGATGCCAACTTCGACACCATGGCGGCATCACTCAAAGCTGTTGTTGGGTTTGGAGACATGACCATTATTGTTGGGGAGGTGGGATGGGGACAGGAATGCCAATTTAAATTTTGCTTTGAGGTTCTTTTTACCTAGACTTGCAGCCAATAAAGGATCCCCTGTTCAAGTTTATTTGTTTGGACTTAGTGATGACGATGCCAAGTGTGGTGGGAGTGAAAAATAAAGTTTTAAAAATTTGGTATTGTAGGTAACACATATAAAAAAATTTAAATTTAATTTCAAAAAAATAAATAAAAAGTTTGGGTACTGAAATTACAATTATTCCCTTTTAATTTTAGCATTTTTTTTTACTATTTTTAATGGCAAATCTGACGGATCTTAACAGTATGGGGTTTTTTCGCACAAAATATTTCAAACAAGATGGTTTTCTGTGACTTTCAATAAGTAGAGGAGTATATCACACATGAAAGTGTTTTTAGATGGTATTATGCTATTAGTCCTTTAAAAGTGATAATCATTGATTGTCGTACCTCAATTTCTTTAGATGAATTGGACGAAGTTATTTTAATTGAAATCAAATCAAAATATATTTAGCTAATTGAACAAAATTGAAGTACAGTTATTTGATTGGCATTCATTGAAAATATAATTATCATGAATTTTATCTGTTCGTAACAATGAATAGAAAATCATGTCATTACAAGTTAACTAGCCTAATATGTGATTGTACTAACAAATAATACTACTAATAGTAAGTGAGTTTGCAAAACTAGTATCTTCTTTAGGGAGTTGGCATAGTCCAACCAAATTCCTCTTTTCATAGTGAAGTTGTGGGGTTAAAGCTTGCCCAACTTCAAATGACTATACACCAAAGATTGGCCTAAGCTTATCCAATGTAAAACTCTTGCCAAGTGAGTTATAGACCAAGCAAATATCCTATGGTGAAAAAGAAATATAATTATAAAAAAATGTTATTAATGTGAATATTAAAAGACACACATTATACAAATTTTTCTTGTCCATTCCATATATTGTGTTTTCGTGAATAATTTTTTTTTTCAACGTTAAATTTGTTTAAATACTCTCTTCATTTACACTTCTAGTAAAAATCAATATTATGTTGCTTCTCTCTCTACAATTTCGTGTCACCTTTGCAATTGATAACAGTAAGGTACATGTTTGGCAAAACTTAAATTATTCAAACTTATATTTTATCCACACAATTTGTAAGATCGACAACTACTATCAACTTATTATTCAGATATTTTGTATCACCACCACAACTTATAAGAATTAAAAGAACTCCCAAATAAGCTCAACATAGGATTCAATAGTGTGATATACAGAATTTGGAATTTTTTTCTTTTCTAATAATATCAAATACTCTTCAATCCATCTAAACAAACATGTCATAAATAGATGCTTATGATCATCATAAAGGGGGCTTGCCCCGTTTATTTTTTCTAATTCATTTTATAGTCCACATTCATTAAACTGAGATAATAATATAGGTATTAAAATTTTTAATTAATTAATTAATTTTTAAAAGTTAAATTATTCGAATATATTTGTTAAACTATGATTTTTATTGTTTATCATATTTTTTAGATAATCTTAGCTGTCATATCTTATTAGAATTATTGAAATTTTGTGGAATTTTTCATTTAAAGTATTAAATTCTTAAAAAGAAAATTAAATGGGACTAGCCCTTGTTACTCGTACCCGCCCGGTGGAAATCCCCCACCTGTACTCGACTCGAATATCCAATTAAACGGATAGTTTTCACCCTCCGTTGGTATCGAGTTTGATGAAATTTTTTGTCATCCTTAAATTCCCTTCTCTTATGCATGTGGAACTTTTGATTTTAAGTTAGGACTAATTAAAAAGAATTCAAGAATCCTTTGGGGTTTATTTCAATATGGAAGAATATTGGGGCTGAAATTGTAAAATACTCCCCAAATGCAATAAAACCAATAAAACACCACATATTTTAGGCTGGCATAAGCTCATTCCAAGGAATGGCCACACTTTCACCTCAAGACGTCAACTATCCAGGTAGATAGAAAGAGAAGACGAAGAAGAAACCCTAAAAACAGAGCTTATTAAGTTACTGATTCTTTACATATTTCTGGGTTCGTTCTGAATCAAATTGCCGAGATCTTTATTTATTATTCTTAATTAAGGTAAGTTATTATTTGATTATGTAAATCTTTCTACAGTATGTGATGTAAGAATGTATATTATTGTTTATTGGTTTTTATTTTTTGTTTGATTTCAGTGTAGTCTTTGTGGGCAATGAGAAAATGTGGGTAGGATGAAACTGTTATATGTATGTGTGAGCTATTGTGGACAGGGTGACGAAGGAATAGTTGATGGAAATTAAATCCGAGATAATTTAAGGTAGCGTGATATTGGAAAAGGAAATAATATTTATATTTCTTATTCCGGATTGATACAGGTTAACTTGACAAAAATTGTTTGGCTGGAATTAATAGTGAGATTCTGTTCAAATTGTGTGTAAAAGATTTGAGCTTTAATAAATATAGAAGTAACTTGTATAAATGTCTATCAGTAAATTGTTGTGCGACGTGTTATGAATGGGATTGTGAGTTTGTAAGTTTTCTACGTCTGTTAACTTAGTCTTCATTTAAAGGAAAATCACAAAATCAAGTTTGAGGATTGCTAATTACTGGGCATGAATCAGTTAATTGTATCTGTGATGCTAATACTATGCAGTAGAATGTTGCAATTGGCAATGATGACAGTTAAATATGTTGTAGTACACTATTGATGTTTATTTTTTTGTGATTAGAATTTGGGTGATGGGGAGGCTGTTAAGTGGTGTTTATATGAAAAATGGATGGATTATGCTTTGCTAGCCTTTGACATTTCCATGATCATTCAAGCTAATTAGGATTTGGATGGCTGATCAAGATTCTTTCTATTTCAAAGCATATGATCACCTTGGCTTTTCATAATTAAGTGTCATAGAATGGATTACCCATCTCTTTTTTGGTGAATGTTGGGCCATTAATCGTAGTTAATGTAAGTATTAGACAAACTGCTCGCTGTGTAAATGGTGATGGGCAAATGTACTTGACAAGGTTGTCTTAATATGATGGGGGTAGTTCACAGTGACCAAGAGCCTTTGCTCTCCCTCTTCAATTACGAGCCTGATAATTCCTTTTATTGTTTAGAGTTCATTTCCTATTTTGGGTATTTTTTTTTTTTTTTTTCAATTTTAGATATGGGAAACTGAATTCATCGCCTTCCCAAATTTCCATT